CATTGCCAGAGTGCAGGAAAGTATGTTTTAAACATCTCGATTGTTATCAACAGCATTATCAACTTGTGCAGAAAGAACTTGTTTACCCATGGTCTATCAACGATTTACACAATGTAACTGAATACCTTTCGTTTAAGCTGCCCTCTCAGCCCACGATTACATACAGACAAACACCGAGATTATCATTCGTTGAGTTTCTGTGTCTGATTAGCAGTATATTTAGCCTATGGTTCGGCGTTTCAATGCTATTTATAACAGATCTATGTGTAAAGTCTGCGATAAATTTTGTAAAAAATATTTGTTATAAACATTACAATAATAATGTGATTGTTATTAATGTAAGAAGTATTGAAAATATAAACCTAACATCAATGAAAGCACATCGAAGTATGACATCATGAGCAATTTTGATTCCAATTCAAATCATTAATTTATTTATTAAACAACCATGTATAGACATTCTTCCCAATACCTTATTTATAATTAAACATTAGGTTTCTGTGTGTTTTAATAAGTGCACTTGTTACTATCAAACCTGTTTGAGGTAATATTGTTGTAAATTAATAATTTGGGAAAGTAATTGTAATGTTAAAAATGAATTATTATATCCCTTTACCATAAACTAATCCATAACATAAAAAAGTGCACACAAATACAACAGTAACATAAAATAGGGAAGTGGGAGGGGGGAGGGTAGTAAAAACTATAGAGGGGATAGAAAACAAGAGAAAATTTTGTAACAGTTGTTGTGTACAGTTTTTGAAGCATGTGCTGCCATTTATATCGAGCTGAAACCCTCGTAATTTACTAATTACAAAAGTTATCATTAAAATAACAAATAAATGAATTGCCTTAAGAATTAGTATTAGTATCGTGTATGGTTTAGCAAGGGTAGCAATTAGTACAATTTAATTGTTACTCAATAATATACAATGTATATTAATAAAAATATTCAACGAATTATAATATAAGTAGGTGTAAGCCTACTAACTTCGTTAGATTAATATGGTGTATGAAATTTGCTTAAGTAATAATGCTTGAATTAATACTTATTTATAAATTAAAAGTTAACAACCAAGCTTGTTGGGTTACAAATATACATTGTGCTTAGCACAAGTACAAATGTTACAAGTTTTAACCATTTATTGTGTAATTATTTGCAAATACTTGAACTTTGTAAACACTTGATATTTAAAAACACATTATCAATTAAGCTCAAATCATTATGATATAAATTTAATATAAATTGAGCATAATATTAAATCATACTTACATTTTATAAAGTATTATTTTATTTGAAAATAACAAGTATTTTATACAAAAAGTAAAATGATAAAATTAATTATATGTTTGGCACTAATATTGGCCACAACTGTCTCCGCCAATAGTCTCCCATTCAGGAAATGTCGTACGTATTAACATTATTTCAATTTACTATTACTGTATTAATAATTATTTTACAATTAACCATGATCAATTCTAGTATTCCCCTCGGGAACAACAAAAAGCTTTGAGATTAAAGGCTGCGATGCTTTGTGTCAACTCAAGGCTGGCCAAAATGTGTCTATCACTGTTGATTTTCAAACTGGTTAGTTTATGTGCTGTATTCAATTATCTTGATTATTTCATATGATTAAAACATTAATAGTCGTATTCTAGTAGAGATATCTTACTTACAAATTATTTATTTTGTGTCTACTTAAAAACAAACTACTAAATAAAGTAAAATATAGTCATTAATACATTGAGAATACCGAATGGCTTGGAGATAGTAAATGAAAATGGTTGAGGGTATTTTATCTAACCAAGGTAACCAAGTATCTAAAGAAGTAATATATTAATTACAATAAATAAAGTGAGAGTTATTGTTATCCGGATTTTTATTTTTAAAAAATTATCTAAAATTATATCCTGTTCAAATATTTATAAAATTTAATTACTAAACATATTATGATTCTCTCCATCTCTTTCTTTCTCAATAGACCTTGATGATCCGGTGCCCACGTACTCAGCACAAGTAAGCTGGGATCCCGAGCCAGGGACTACAAAATACGATGTCCTGAACTCATACTCCAACGCCTGTCCCGACACTCCCTGTCCTATCCATTCAGGTGTGGCCCAGAAGTTGACGTTCAACACAGCGCTGCATAAGAGTCAGTACGTGTCGACCGTTAAGAACGCGACACTCACTCTATGGGTTGACGGCAACGGCGATGTGCTCTGCAGTGAAGTGTCGGTCGATATTATTGTTTGAAATATTGATATTGTTTTGCAAAAGTTTAAAATTATTTGTTTGATTTAATAAATAGTTTTATACGTGTATTGAAAATAATATTTGTTTACTTATTATTATTTGTTAAATAATTAGTATTTGTTTGTCGTATGACGGTGGGCTTGATGGGATTTATATGCACCTAACCTTATGCTCATAAGTAATCCCATAAACACCACGTACTTCTCAACCTTGATTTACATTGACAATATTGATCTGTAAAATAATAATTAGTTTACTAAATAATGACTGCTAAAATACATTGATAAACAATAATAAGATAGTTAATTAGGATAGTTAAGAGTTAATTAATAAAATAATTTAGGTAATTTAGTATAATTAAATGTTTAATATTATTATTTGGCCCCAATAATAATAATTGCTATTTTTATGATTAGTATAATTATTTCTTCGTTATTTCATTTGGTAAACAAAATAATTTGAGTTATAAAAATAGTATCTAGATAAGTATTAGAAAATAATAGTATTGCTTGTAAACAGAATTGTCGGTTTAATAATGATTTTAAATATTGGAACATAATAAAATTTTTCAATAATAATGATAATAATTTAATAGAATTATTACATTACAATTAAACAATTTATATAAAAGTGTTTATATATTGTGTTGTATTATTGTTCTTTTGATTTACTTTTTAATTAAACTATAAGTACAACTTATTTTATAATTTTAAAATTATCTAATAATTAGATAATATAATAAAGAATACTTTTTATAAGACAATAAAACAAGGATTTTTTAAATTATTTTATAAAATGCAGATTTTAAATGTAATTAAAAGTACTTGCACGGAATTTCTCACAAAAATCATAAATAACATTAATAACTATAAAAATATTACCCGATTGTTATGTATAATCGGATGTTGTATTCAATTATCAAATATATTAACACAATATTTCTCATACGAGACCACAACTGATGTGCGCTTCGAGACCGAGACTATCATATCATTGCCGGCAATCAC